GAGGAGTGGCTGGTGGGTTTGAACCGCCAGCCGTCTGGTTAGCAGGCAAGTGACTTAGCCACTATGCTACCAGAGCTCCCATGTCACCTAGTAAATGTTTTATAAATAACAATGGTTCTTTCTTATAATAATGTAAAGGAGCCTGGATAGTGCTCAGCTACTAACCAAAAGGTTGGTGGTTCAAAACCACCCAGTGGCTCTGTGGGAGAACGACTTAGGGATCTCCTTCTGCAGAGATCATGGCCAAGAACCTACTATGGGGCAGTTCTACTCTGTCACACGGGATGCTACCAGTAAGGATCAACGTGACATCACCCAACAACAACATACAAATAATGTATGCATAGAAATAATCATCCCAGATTGATAGTTTTAGAGTAAAATACATAAAGGAATCTTATCATCTCCAATCATTTAGTCAGAAAATAAGGGGAGCTCAACAAATTGAACCTGTAATCCAAGAGGTGACACAGACTAGAAATAGAAGTCAGGCCAAGGAAGGTTTGGAAAAAAACAGGACAATAGATCCCGAGTGCATTCCTAGAGGGACTTGGAATGTGAAGGGGTAACATGAAGAAGGTATGGAGTGGTAGCAAGAGAAATTTAGGTTGGCTGGCTGAAACAATGGTTAAAGGGTGGAAAGAGTGGAGGTAGCAGGTTGTAAGCTTCCACTACCGACACCTTTCAGGGGTAAGCCATTCCATTTGTTTGGATTTAGGTGATAGCTTGCCTGGAGGCTAGAGAAATCCCATCCAGCTCTTGAAAACTGAGAAAGTTCTCACTTCCACTCAAGCCACATATGAGGCCACAAGAACATTTATATTTAGTAAGAGACACCAGCCAGGTCTTGAATCTTCTTTCTAAACTTGTTCTCCATCTCAGTCAATTGCACCATCATCTACCAAATTGCTCCACACCTGGAATCACCTGATTCCTTTCTTTTCAACACATCCCTTCTACCCAGCCCCTCACCTCTGACACTGAGTCATCACGTCTAATTCATCACCACCTTTCCTTCTGCTACCAAGACCTAGGCCCAAATACCACCACCTCTTCCTTGGACTTTGCAATAGCCTCCTAAGTGGTTTTCCTGCTCCTGCCTCTTCCCTCCTTCTCCAACCCTTTCCCCACATATTTGTCAGAGTTATCTATTAAAAATGCAATTCAGGTCTTATCATACCCCTCTGTAATTGGAATAAATTCAAAGTCCTTACCATGCCTAGAGGATCCCATGTTATTTCCTGTTGGCCTCTCTGACCTCATTCATAATGTCCCCCCTTACTAATGAGTCCCTGCCCCACTAGTCTTTCTATTCCTCAAATCAAGTCCTTTCCCACTCTGTGCATCACCCTTGTTTCTCCCTTTTCCTCTACCTGGGATGCTCTTCTTCACCCAAGTTTTTGCTTGTCCTCATCTTTTGAGTCTGGCATTACCTAGAGGTGACCCCTCTCGCCAGTAGGACTTTCCATCAGGCTGTTCTACTCACTCACTTCAGTACCCTCATCACAGCCTGAAATCTGCTTGTTAGTTTATTCATTGATTTGTCTATAGTCTCTCCACAGAAGAATATAAGCACCAAGAGGACAGGGAACTTGCCACTGGAGTCCCAGTGCCTGCACAGAGGAAACCTCCAATCAGGATTTGTTGAGTGACTGAAAGAGTTTTGAACATGTCCTATGAGTCTAGGGCTTCATGACATGAACCTACTCTGCTTTTTTGCAGTAAAAATACAACTCATTAAGAACAACAACAAAAACTATTATCATTATTATTTTGAAGTCTACTTTGATGAAATACCTAAAGATTCTCAGTGGGACAAAGATGCTTGAAGCCCAGTCTCATTGAACTGCTCCCTCAGCTTATATGCCTTACTAAATTTGTGCAATCTAAAGGAGATCATTCCAAACAGCATCCCAAATTTAACTGGTTTGGGTTAAGGCTTTTGAACACCACATCTCCCCCAGTCCCAATTCCTCCTTCCATCTCAGGGGTAGTTACTGAAAGGTTCTGGGCTCAGATTTTTCAAGCAGCTGATCTGAGAGCCAGCAAATGCTCTCAGAGGCTCCAGGACCTACACTTGTTCTCCTCTGAGCCTTCTGCTGAGGGAAGTGACAAAGGGGACAGTGTTTCCTGCTAAGACCTGAGTGTGTGCTATCTAAAGGAGATGAAACCAGGAGACTCCCCACCAACAACCTGAAGGAATTAGTAAGGACACATTTTGGGGCCTGGCTGGCCTCTCAGGACGTTCTGCACTGAAGACACCCAATTCCAGATCATGTCTCTAGTCCTTAAGGTACTGCAAAAAGAAGGCTATTCTTTCATCACTGAGCTCCTTTAGGGCGAAATGGGGAGGAAACAGCAGTTATTTTCTGAATGGATGAATATTGCATTGAAGGAGGACCCTGTGCATTTCAATTTGTACAAGGAAAGAAACAATCTAATATATACTGTTACTTCATGTCCAACACTATGAGAAAAACCATCTTATTTCATTCTTACTTGCATCATCAACATAGATATTATTATTTCCATTTTAATGATGAAAAAAACAATGCTCAGAAAGGTTAAGTAACTTGTGCAGAGTCACACAGCTAGTAAGCAGCAGATGTGGGATTTTAGTAAATGCCCTCTAGTCCTCCCGTAGCTTATTTCCTACAAGCAGGTAGATAAGCTCTTGGTGTCATCTCTAAGCTGCAGCTACAGAGAGGAACCACAGAATTCTCCCATTTAAATTCAGGCAGCACACGCAGGTAATAAGTAGATCTGTCTTCTGCATCACATCGTGACTAGGTGGCTTCTTAATCCTTTGGCCTTTCCATGCTAGAAATAATCTCTAAGTACCGGTTGGGCCTCTAACATAGTGACCTCTTTCCTCCCTAGTCCTACTAAATAGCTCTTCACCATATCAGAAGAGTTCCCGTTCATCGATTCTCATGAATCCTTGCTGCTCTGGGCCAACTAAAGCTCACAAAGCTTCCTTGCCCTGTGGCCGACTGGGCTGGAGGATGAGCTATTAGCCTTTGCCTGGGGGCTTCTGAAGCCTCTCACCTCTGTGTCGGGTTCTTCTTTTAGTCTCTTTTATCTTCCTAGTTGGGTGCAGAATATCCCATTCCTTCTCCTGCTAGGTTCTGGGCTGTGTGAGCTTGGGCAGAAAAGCCCCATACGATCATACCCTGACG